GGGACGAAGTCTAGAAGGGGCACAGGAGCCAGATTTCCCTCCATTGTCTTCATCAGCTGTGTGGGTCCTCTCTTTATCATGAACAGCAAAAGCAACAAGAGGAATTGCACCCTCCCAAAGCCAGGAGGAAGGTCTCTGGGGATGGGGGGGCTCCCATAGTGGTGGCTGGGGTTGGGGGATGTGATGGCTGCAGTGCCAATGCATCCCTGGGGATGCAGTCTCTTGGGGATCATGGCATCCTTATGGAGCTGACTGGGAGGGAGGCCAGCATGGACCACTACCAGGAGAAGGGATGTGCAAAGACTGCTCATTTAGGCAACCAGATTTTTAAGCTATACCCCACTCCTGTCGTATTTCTAGAGCTTTGGGAAGTTTGCTCAATGTGTTAACAAACAAAAACTCTGTTTAGGCTTTTGTCAGTGCAATATTTGTCTTTCCATTATCACACCATTTCTTTGGTGGTCATAAGAGACTTCACTAACACAGATAAGCTAGCTTGGCCAGAAAGCTGTTAAGAGGCTAAATCACCTGGATTTTCTGTGCTTTGACTTTTATTTCCCTACTTTTTCATAAGTACACTGGCATTGGCACTGCGCACAGACTGCATTTCACAACCAAAGAAGTGACCATGCTGAGCCTCTAGCGTTGTGCTCAAGGAGGGGACAGGCAGCAGCCACAAAAGCACCAGAAATCCCCTCAACGTACAACAAGGATAGTCCGCAACGCCTGCTCATGGACATAGACCATCCTCAGGGAGAAGTCAACCTGTTCCCCTTTGCACTGAGAGGATGAGGAGCTCGGGTGTTTGGGGTATGTAGCTCAGTCCCCAGGAGAACCTTTGCGGAGAAGCACGGCAAAACCCTGGCATCCTTACAGCTGGGAGGATTTCTGTATTGACTTCTCTAGGGCTAGGATTTCATCCTCAGCTGTCTCTGTCTCCAGACTTTCAAATGCTGTAGTTCATGACCAATGCTTGTTGAATTATTAGTCACTGCGCTTATGTTATTGCCTCTCTAGATTTACAGCTTGTGAGGGCAAAGAGGCGAAAGTTGGTTTTCTGGCTTGGGGGGGGGGGTGTTATCCTTTACATTTTGCTAAAACATAATAATGCTCAAATTAAAGGACTTTTTTTTATGCTCAGTCTGACATTATCAACATAAGGCAATGAAAAAAGCGAATGTCGACGTCGCACGTGCGACAGTTTCAGCAGTATATATAACTTAATTGGCTGAAGTTTGCCTCAGTAGTGAGCTTGCCCTGCATGTGGCTTGTAGATGGTGGGATTACAAACTAGAAGTAGCATGCTGCTGTCTGGGAAGCTATGAACTACCAGTGGTTCTAGGAACAAGGTGACAACATACGCCAAAATGCAGAAGCTGAGAATTTTGTTCTTACAGAAGAAAACAGGACAAATACTTCATTTTGCAAGAAACTATGTCTTAAATCTAGTTCATATTCTGGCATTTACAATATTCTGGTGCATGCACAGGTATGGAGGCTGTTGCTCATGACAAAATGTTGTCAAAGGCACTTGTGAGCTGGGTGTTCATGGGCTGAAACTTCACCAGGACCCAGAAGCCTAGTAATACCTTGACTTTGGGGGCTGAGGGCAGGTCGGGGGCACTTGGGAAAGGTTGTTAGTACTACTGTCATCCTCCACAGCCTCCTTCTTGTCATGAAGCAGCAAGGGGGCAAATTTTAATTTCTCCAGCTTGTGTTACTTCAGGAAGGCAAGATAGTCTCACCAGACTCTTAAAAATCTCTGTTTTCGGCTATGCCCACCCTGTCTTCTGGAGCACACGTTGTAGGACCCCTGGGGCATCTTCTCACGGCCCGGAGAGACTCAGAGCAATTCAAGCTTCGCTTTGGCCTCCGAGCACCTGCTCCCCACCAGCAGCTCCCAGTCTACGCCTGTGGGAAGGTGACAAACCTACAGACTGTGAGGATTCAGAACTGCACAGGACTATGTATCTTCTCATGCAAGTGGGTGCATGTAAATAAATGTTAATACACACTTAGTGACTATGAATACAAACATCTGTATATGTGGGCATGAAAACTAACGAGAACTGTGCCTGCAAACGGGCTTCCTCAGCACAGGGATGCTACTTTAATTCCCCCATGAAGAGTCTTGAGAATTCAAATGTTGTTCTTCCGTGACTTTCCCCAGGGGGTTTAGTGCTCTTTAAGATTTGATTTAGCAGACCCACAGGGCTCATGCAATGCCAACGCATTCACTAGCTGTTTTCTTTCCAGGGGTTCACCACTTGCTCATCACATCCCTGATCTATATCAGTGTTCCCTGAAGAGAGGATGCCAAGGTCACAAGGAAACAGAATGGACTCTTAAGAAACAGCTTCTAAGCAACCTGATAAAGTGATGTTCCTTTCTGGAGACAAGCTGTCTCTCCCAAAAGAAATACTTTCTCCCTCTTCCCAGCTTTTTTAAATGTGGTATAAGATCATTCATAGCAGCGTTAGTAAGTGGCAAGTATTCAGTGTGCCATGGTCAGTGTGATACCTGCTCACACCTCTCACAAGCTAAAGCTGCAAATACCCAGCAGAGAAACATAAATTGCCTTTTTGATTACTTTTTTTTTTCTCATGCCTGGATTAACTTCTTTAAAATTATCATTTCTGTCTTTTCCCCTTTATCCCTATCTCCAGAAGGCTCTAGGGTCCACTCAGTACATCAGTAGCTCCTTGAGATGTGTGCAGCCCGGCTGTGGATGTACAGAAAAGAGGGCAGAGATCTGTAAAGTCCTGTGGAGACAGATGGGTTTACAGCTCCTTGGGAAACAGCTTATTTCGACTGACTGTTATTACAGTGGCACTTGAAAGCCCCGAGCCGGGTAGATGGGCCACTCTGAGACACCTTGTAGCTGTATGCAGCAAGTACTTATCCCAAAGGCTTGATGCTCTAAACAGATAAAAATGTGGTAGCAAAGTAATAGGAGAGAGAAATATAAATATTTCCATTCTGCAGTAAAGGAATTGGTTGCTAAAGATACAAAAGAAAGTCTGTGAAAGCCTCTGGAATGAAACATGAGGGCCACTCTCCCCCTGTTTTCCCAGACAGCGGTGATGGTGGCAGAGTCCCATCAGGTCTCTGCACTTCAGCAGCTCCCCACTGCATGTGGAAAGCAGAGAGGGAAGGCAAAGAGCTCTCATTGCCCTGGGCCTTGGCATCATAGCTTTGCTCTTGGCTCCTCGGGTCACTTCTCCCTTTTTAATCCGGCGCTGCAAATGTAAGACTGAATCTTTCTTCCCTCCCCGTAATTTTGCCCTCCTACTTCAGGTAAGTTCCCACGCAACCGCTTCGTGCAGCGTAACTGCTGCCGTAGAGCTGCTGTCCGTGGGGGCACTTTGCTGCGAGGTATAGAATTTATATCCTCTCTTTCACTACGGGATACCACAGGGTAAGATTACGAGTGTTGTCATTTCAAACCCTGCCTTAACTCTCGGGATCAGGTGTGTTTGTAAACATCCTTGACCTTCAGTTTATAGCAAAGAATCGCAAGGAATAAAAAAAATCGCCTGCTGTATCCTCATTTTCTGATCACCATTAACATCCCCGATTCTTTTCGCATTGTGGCTTTGCAAACTTTAGTCCTCACGAGCCAGATTTGCATTTCAGATCATAAGTTTCCCCAGGTATAAAAACCATCCCTTTTCCCAGACCAAATCCTATCCTGTAACGTAGAGACTAAACTGTTTCTCCAAAGATACAAAGCCAACCTATAAAAACCCCGTGGGAACAGAAACCAGACCTCCTGGCTCTCAGCCCCGGGCTGTGTCGATATCTGGCGGCGTTGGGGCGGCAGAGATCGCAGATCTTTCTTGGGAAATGATGGGAAAGGGAAAGGAGTTGGAGGAAATGAACCGCCCAATGTCCACAAGCTTCAGACTGCCTATTCCTGATCAGAGATCAGCCACTGGGGATGGAAACCTTAATGGAGCAGCATAAAAGCTATTTGCTACCTGCAAACGCTACCGGAAAGATTTTTATTCTAGCTGTAGCTTCCAGGGTTTTATTGTTTTCAAGCTCTGCCAGTTGGAGAATAATTTCTGTAGCGTGCACTCCTCTCCCCTCACTGTCCTACAAATATATATATAAAAAAATCGACACTCTTCTGTACTGGTACAGGTTTTCACTTTGGTCTAAAGGGTCACATTTCCAGGCACAGACGCATCACACATACATAACATGGTGTTGCAAAATACGTGGGCAGCTCCTTGTTTGCTTGCATACAAGCTCTTTTTTAGGTACAAACACAGATTTTGTGCCAAGAATCAAGGCAGTCCCCTCTGAAAATCATTTAGCAAATTGCAATGGTAGCTGTCTGCTAGTGGAACTCAAATGATACCCTTGAGAATGACACCAGAATCGAGCTTTTTTTTCTTTTCTTTTCTTGTGTTTAGAAGGTTAGATATAATACATTGCTCTGAAATCCAGGTGACTGATGCTAAACTTAAACCAAATATTATACGTTGCTGATTGCAGTACAAAAGCTATATTGTGATAAGGCAGGGGACGAGCTGAAGCTTTCAACCTCCCAGTCTTTCAGGGAAGCAGCGGGGAGCCAGCAAGGCTTGCTGGGCTTTGCAGAGCGGAATTGCCGGATACCTGCGTGTCTTGGGAGCAAAAGGATTTGCTAGGAGGGAGGGAGGGAAGGAGCTGGAGACCTGGCTGAGGCTGAAGAAGGGTGCACCTCACCTATTTTTTAAAGGGATTTAGAGCTCAGTTTGCTTTGGCATAAAGTCAAGATGTTTTCTCACAGGAAACTGTTCAATGCAAAGCAAAAATATTTGAAATGCTGTTCACAGCTGATGTCCAGTGCAGTGCAAAGGAGCAGCAGCAGCACGTGTTAGTGTCCACAGGGATCTCTTGGAGAAGATACACCTTTTAAGGGGATATTTATGGTCCTATAGACGCTGGCCCTGAAGGAGATTTTTTGGCATTACTGTAATTTAAACAATATTAACAGTCTCTTTTCTTACCATGGTATCAGTATATTCTTCCAGCTTTACTTCAGCAACTGGCTTGTTATGCTGCAAAAAGAGATCTCGCAGGAAATCCTGTAGTAAGGAAAGAGATAAATTTTAGTCTTTAGAGCAAAATCAAGAAATAGCAGTAAGAAATTCTTAAGCAGGATTACATGAGTCTAATTTCACATTCCTGATTAGTACTAGTGTCTTCAGTTTCACGTAAAGTTCACATTTTTTAAGTTGAAACATATTTTTCAAACCAATTAGAAAATAACCACATTTCCCTGGAGCAGGCATACTGGAATGAGTCATAATTAACTCACAAAATAAGCAAAAGCTAACATAAGGCCCGCAATATTTGCTAACTGAGCTCAAATCAAAATATTTGCCATTCAGCAAAACACTTAAGCACCCTCTTATGTCTTCATTGGGGCACAGGCTGGAGGAACAATCTGAGATGTCAGTGCAGGGTCTACAGCCCAGGGATGGACTTCTGTGCCCAGCTGGCTCAATGTGTTTGAGTCATGGTTTCTGTACAGGCTTCTGCCTCAATAGCCTGAGCTTTAGAAAGAAATCAGTGTTCAGAATATCTGCAGGCTTAGGAAAAGCTTGTGAAGTGAAGAAATCCCCCATTAATAAGACACAATGCCTTTGGCTCTGTTTAGCTGGGAGAGGCACAGGCACAAAGCCAAGGTGAGGCAGTGCTCGGGGGGCTCCTTGGGCGCTTGGGGGTCACTGAGTCAAGTGGGGTCATGGGGTGAGGCAAGGGGGAAGCAGGACAGCGAGGGCAACAGCAGAGCATCCTCCCTCCCAGCAGGGTCCCCACAGCCATGCCAGAAGGCTGGAGGGTCCCCAGTCCTTAAACTCGCTGTGAACAACGGAGAAATGCCGTTTGTTGACTGCACAAAAAGGCAGCAAATTGGTAAAGCCAATGGAAAAGCTCCCGCAGACATCAGTGAGCTGTAGATCAAGCCCAGAGAGACTTGTTAGAAGAACTTACTTTGAGCTCGCCAGCTGAAATAAATCCACTGCTATCAGCATCGTAACTGCGCCAGATCTGAACGGGGATAGATTGATACGGGCACATAAATATTGCAGTTAATCATCTGCTCGGGTGATAGATCATAAAGATTCAAAGCAGGGCTTCCATCACGAGCAAGCTGTTGCATTATCCAGTATTTAACAAATTGTAGATGAAATATAATAAACTTTCCACACAATAGCTTCTACTCTCACTTGGATACTGCACATATGACACGCTGTTATCACATGTTTAATGCAGACACGCTGTCTATAAAAGGAAGAAAAGACTAAGAAACCGCTCAGCGCTTCTTACCTAATTTGTACATGCAGCTTCTTGTACTGCCCTGTGTAAAAGGCAAGGCTGTACATAACTGGGCATTGATCTGCAGAAGTCCCCAGTTTGGATGTGAAATAAAAGTAACTGCAAGCAGTCTTGGAAAAAATTGAAATTCTATGCTGGGATACTTCGGGGCAGAGACTGGAAGGAGATTGGGCAAGGTTAAGGAAAGCTTACGGGCTTGCACTGCTCAGTTGGCCCAACTTCCAGAGATTCCACTGCACGCCCCACCAGGCTAATGCTTCAGGATAAAACGGTGCTTAAAACATGCCCGCTCTGCCCTCTTGGTGAGGTGCTGCAGCTTTGGCTGTAGCTCCCAACAGGGCTGAATTTATCAGTGGGTAGGTAGTACCGTAAGGTTTTGTCTCCGATGGCATGACTGAGGTGGCTGAGAGTGTTTGCAAAGTTTGATGAACCCTCCATGTGCCCTTGGTCCAGTCCCAGCTACCACATCTCTGCCTTGCTGGTGTGGATCGTGTACAACCTTCTCTACCTGAACAGGTCAGAACGTCTTTTGTTTCCACAATACCCACGTATTTCCCACGCTACGTGCTACGGAGGGTGGAAGTGTATCTATTGAAGAAGCTGTAGGTGTGCAAGGGGAAGAGGCAACGTGGAGATACAGACCCGCATGAACTCCACACTGTTGTCCAAGGGAGTTTCCCGTCGGAAAAGCAGCAGAAAGTTCTCATCATCTGGCAAGATCATATTTGCAAGCTAGAAAAAAAAAAACAAAACAACCCACGTTAGAAAAATCCCCCAAAGTAAACCTAAACCATGCAAGTAGAGAAAGGAAAGAACTTGAGTTCCCATTACGGGAAGTATAAGCTGGGCATGTTGTTTCCTTGGAAATAAACCCCAGACCGAGAGATCTGGCTAATGTAGCACTCCATGACTCACCTCCTCCCCACCCAGGCTCTATCCACATATCTTCCATATCTCCCAATTCTGCTATAGGCCCTAATCATAGACTTATAGAATGGTTTGGGTCGGAAGGGACCTTTAAAGGTCATCTAGTCCAACCCCCCCTGCAATGAGTAGGGACATCTCCAACCAGACCAGGTTGCTGACCTTGAATGCATCTACCACCTCCCCAGGCAAGCTGTTCCAGTGTTTCACCACCCTTATTGTAAAAACTTTCTTCCTTATGTCTAGTCTAAATCTGCCCTCTTTTGGTATAAAACTATTACTCCTTGTCCTACTGCTACAAGCCCTACTAAAAAGTCTGTCCTAATTCTCCATCCTTCTATAACAGAAATCCTGGGCTGGGGTTGGGGACAGGTACCTCTTGGATTTTCAGGCGTCCATCTGTGGTGACATCGTAGGCAGACATGAATTGCTCCTTCATCCTCTGAACTTTTTCTTCTGTGACGGTGTTCTGCCATGGGGAAAACAACACACACACGAAAATTGCTGAGGGCACTAGAAGAGTCTCCCGGAGGAAATCTCTCCTCACTCACAGGTGACAACCGGGATCATTGTACCCTTACAGCTGCAGAAAATGCCTCTAAAAGCCCACAAACACACCACTGCAGACTTCTTTGGAAATAAGTCCGATGCATAGCTTTGTAGCAACTAAGCTTTCTGTTGGCAGACCAGTGTTTGGAGACCCCAAAATATTTCAGTGACACCTGCTTCTTTAGCCAACTGTTCCCAGTCTATCACTGGGATTTGGTTTTGCTTGAGTGTTTGTTACAGCAGTTTCCATGCTGCTCATTGGCAACTTGTGCTTTTCAGGAAGATGTCCTTATCCTTGAACTACGTCTCTCTAGTTCATTAGATCATCGGCCTTGAAAGGTGTCGGTGGAGCTAGGTTGTTGCTTATTGTTGCCTGTCAAGACCTGGCACCAAGCCCTGTCAGTGTTTCTGGGTTAATAGCATGGAATTTCAAGCAATTGCATCTGCTCAACCCCGTAATCAATTTATACACAGTGAGGAGCTTTCAGGACTTGTCAGGTTATATGTTTTGGCAGGCATCGCTGTGACAGGTGAAATACAACGCTTAGGTTCATCAGGCATGATTTCTTTTTCTTAGCAGTAACCGTCAGGGTCTCTGGTCTGACTGGGCTACACAAAGGACCATTTCCTCACCCTGGGGAAAGGCTTCTGGTCAGGTGAGCTTTGTGGCTGGGCTGGGAAGCTCACCTAGTAAATCTGGCCCAAGCAATTAATGAAGTCCAGCGTTACCCCCCGCACCCACACTGAGCAGGTCCTGGCTCCTCTCCCAGTCCCGTGGGAGGTGGCCCTCTCTGGGAGGAGAGGGAGGGAGAAGGATAACCCAGTGTGGCTCTTGGCACACCTTCGTAGCACTTTTTACAAGATAATAAATCAAGTTATTCCCAATCTCTGAAGAAAAGCCCTTCAAAGGTTTTTTTTATCATCTGTATGTCCAGGTGGATTTAGGACTACAGCTGTGTCTTCCTGGGTCTTCCAACTCAGTTTCTCATCCTTTTAGCTACTATTGCAGTCCCATCAGGTTGTACAATCCCTTTCTTAATACTGTGACACAAGACCATGAGTGACTTTCTCAAATTTACTCAGTGCATCGCTCAGTGCAGCCTGCCTGGCTGTTCAGAGGCTAAGCAAATACAAACCCCACTCTTAGGGAAGGACACCGTTGCCCCTGTCCAGGCAGAGTGAACTGCATAATGCCCTGGAAGCAGCATGTCCAGATAATTCACTGCCTCATGTGCTCTTTTAGGCCACGATTCTGCAAAGCATGAACTGGAGGAGCAACAGTGCTGCTCTGCAAAACATTGCACAGCGCAGAAGGAGATCTTTCTGTAAGGTTTGTCACCTCCGAGCGGAGTAATACAGCGGGGCTGCACACACAGCAACTGCAGCTCATGTTCTCACTTTGGATGGGTATCTGCAACCCCCACACTGGAGACCGAACATGCCTCACACCCCAAAACTTCCCTGGCCATACCCACATTCAGGAGTAGCTGGGTGACGGCAGCGATTTCCAGCTGCTCTCGAGCGGTGCTGCTGCAGAGCCTTTGCTCAGCAACAGCTGCCACAGCCAGTGACACGCATGTAGAGGCACTCTAGGATGTCACAGATGGGGTAAGCAAAAAGAAAAAGAGGTATCTTCGTCTTAGGCTCGCCAAGCTAAGGTCTACCTTCGCACTCACTTTGTCATCACTTTACCCCACATGTTCAGATTTCACAAAAGCCTTAATTTGCTGCTAGCAATAACAGAAAAAAGAGCTCTGTAGGTGGATGGACAGGCAGATAGATAGTGTGAATGATCATTTATGATGTAATTTAATTTGCCTTCACCTTACTTCAGAGCAGACTTGGAGCTCACGAGCACTTACTTGCAGAAAGCCATTATAGGCTTATAGAGAAATCTTCAATAGCACTGTCAGTGCAGGGAATCCTACATGAAATCAGGAGAGAAAGAGTTAATTTGCTTTGATTTATAAATGACAAGTCAAAATAACCAAGAGGGAACTCTGCTTAGAACAAGTGGAACTCTTTCACCTCTCCTATCTAGGATAATATGGGACTAGGATGTGCCAGACGATGGAAAATTTGGGAATCTGGGAGCGGGAATGGGAGGCTAGGGGCACCCCTATGGATCTCTGTAGGGCACGTGACGTGCATCCCCGGGGGCGCACCCTCGGGGTACGATGCCGAGGGTTGCCATCTCCCACACAGGGCACGAAACACCCAGCAGTGACCCCCACGGGGATGTACCCGTCGCCCCCCCCCCGGGGCCCTGCCGTTGGCCCTGAGCTGGTCCCAGGGCAGGGCTGGGGGATCCTCCATCGCCAAAGTGGTGGCCAGCGAGCCCTGCGGGCTGCGTGCCTGGGCGCCCACCCCGCTGCCCTGGGGTGGTGAGCCCTGCTGGCCCCCCCTCCAGGCGTGGGCATCGGGGGCGCAGCATGCCGCTCGACACCCCTTGGCACGAGAACTCGCCCTCGTGCTATTTAAATTGCCTTCTGACGGCACCTTGATGCTTTGAGACACCTCCCAGGAGTTAGGCAAGCCTAGCAGTTGCTGACTTCAATAGGCTTGCAAAATAGCCTGAAATTATCCTCCTCCAAGCCCAGCAGGAGAAGTCATTTCTGAAATGATAATCATAGCTGATATTGGACAAGTGCGCGGTGGAGCTCAGGCTAGTCATTTGTTAAGAAAGCTTATTGCTCAACTTTGTGTCAGCTGTTAACCACCACTTCCTTGAGCTTTGTGCGGCAGGAACATTGTTATCTGCACAAAAAAAAAGGACTGCCTCCTTTTGTTTTTATTTTTAACTGATTTGGCCTATGGGATACATCAAGTAAATACTCGAAATACTTACAGTATTTACATAGCTCCAACACCTTTTAGTCCAAGGGGTTACACTACAGTGGATTTCTCAAATCGAATGATCTCTCTCTGTTGATAAATATTCTGCTTAGGAAACACAAGTGCTGATGGATCTACTAAAACCCAACCTTTACTCCTAAAGTATAAAAGCAAAGTGAAAGATACTGGACAAACTGGCTTTCCCAAGATGGGTGCTCAAGGCAAAACTATTTGTATATTACCTTGGTTTATGACCATTAAGTTTTAAAGGTGACCTTTATGTTTATCAAAAAAAAAACCAATCCCAGAAGATAAAAAAAAAAAAAAAAAAAAAAGATGATCAAATAACCCTTCCACTACCAAGTAGAAAACAAGGTTGGGAGACCTGGTCTCTGAGATGGATGTACTGGTGTAGTGGGGCAGACCAGTATCTTGCTCTGGTTGCCTTTCCATTCCAAAAATACTTAAAAGGTTGGAAAAAACTTCACACGTAATCTACACGATTTGTTCCCCTTTGTCCGAGCGAGGACATGAACTGCAGACTCCCGCTGAATTTGCTGACTCTATAATCTGATGGTGGAGGTCTGCAGCCCATGGTGGGGCAGCCCGAGCAGGCTGCAGGGCAGAGCTAGGACAGCGGGGAAGATGCCTGGATTTCACAACCCCTCCCTGAAGGCTTAGGGAGCAAGTTCAATTCTCTGGCTTGTTTAGATTTTGTTCGTGGATGGTTTTGACTCCAAATCAGGGCTGTGGCGTTGCTACAGCGAGGCAGAGGCACGGGGAAGCTTGTGAGTGGTTCAGTTTTGCAGGAGCTTCATGCCTGGACAAGAGCTTGCTCCAGAAACAGAGGGAGAAAAGTATTTGGGTAAAAGTACTGTCTATGCAATATTTATGGAGCCAAGGAAGGACTTTACTAGCCAAACATGTGGTCCCTGGTATTATCTGCGGGGGGAAGAACAGGGACCACCCTGCAATGAGGTTGTTGAGGGGAGGCCAAAGGTAAAATCTCAGTCACTTGCTGGTCAAGAGACCTGATATTTTTTATTCTCTGCCTTTGGGCTCTTGCAAATATTTCCTTGCTTCCCAGCTCAGGGCAAGTCCTGTGATAAAGGAAGAAAGACCAGGAGAAGGAGAACAAGAAGGGGAGACCTCCAGGCAGGCATATGCAGGGATGTATGGCATTTACAGGGAAATGCAGCTGCTGTGCCAAGTGCTACGGCCACCAGCTTCCCTGGGAATTTGTTTTTCCTTCCTTCCCTTTAATTATTAACTCGCTGTTCAACTACAGATCCCTCCCCAGTTTCAGAGGTTTGCAGCGCTTTCTCAAGTGTTCATTGCTCGGACTAAAATTCTGCAGACCTGTTAGCAGCTAGATAAAATTTCTCTTTTGCGAACATTTAAGTCATTCCTCGTTTTTCCCTGCTGCATGCCCCTCCCTGACTTTCTGGAGAAGAATTTAATCACGAGGTAATAGCCCTAATTGACAGAGGAGCACAATTTCCCCTGCATTGCTGCCTACTTAAGGCAGAAACAGCTATAGAGATGCTCACGTTTCCCATCAGTCAACATTGTAATGAAGAGGATTCCCTGCCACAGCCTGGGAAACACACCTGAACTAGGACCTGCCTCCAGTTGTGCTCAGGGTTGGGCTGAGGAAGAGTGCGGTTGCTGGGAGAGCAAGTGCTTGGCAAGAAAGTGTCCTGCAGCAGAAGTAAACCCCCGGCAATGTCTTCCTGATGCTCATTTAAGAGAAAAAAAAAAAACCTAACCCTCTGCTGATTTCCATGAAATATCATCTTCCTTGGACTATAATGATGATGGGAGCTAGCTGGGAATGGAGGGATGCTTTAACCCCTTTTCAGGTCGCTTCATAGGAGCTGTAAATCTTCAGCTGCCCTGCTCTCTCACAGGTCGGATGCTGCGTGGTTTCCAAGAGCACTGCATGTTCTCACTGTCCAGTCGAGGAAGAAATCCTAACTCCTTACCACGAGCAGAAGGCCGTTTTTTTTTCTCCTCATGAAAGCACACCGTTTAAAATACTGCTGCGGCTTTGTTCGTGTATTTCTCAGGGTTAAGGAGTGACTT